GTCACTGTAAGAAATCATGATCTGTCTTGCAAAAGTTCTTAATGGCACTTTGAGATTTTTGGCATCAAAATCTGGACAGAATGTATTTTGTTCTCCAATCTTCTGCACTACTGCTCCATGCCGGGAAAGCACAATCATTTTTGTGATAAGCACTGAAAAAGGGATACCTCTTGGGCTAAGGCACAGTCATCTGATCACCGATGACCTGGTTTTGCAATTAAATGAGTCCAGTTCAGTTATATGCCTTTGGAGTGTTTGGTATGCTCTCAACATTCAATTTCAGGACACTTAAAACACCAACAGAAGCACACCAATTAAAGCAAAAAGCTTTTGCCATTGTTTCGTTTCCTTTTCCAAAATAAGGGAAATAATAACTCATTGTCCAGACAGATCTATAACAAATGTTAACTTCTGTGGACAAGTTTCACTATTCAGTTTACTCTTTCTTACTTTTTCCTCTTTGCAGAAATGTAAATCTACTCCTTATAACTGTCCTATGTCTACATCACTGGACAATTAACTAAAACGCAAGCAGAGCTAGTAACAGTCATCCACAGTATGGATTATTCTAACTCATCTTCACAAGAGAATGCTCAATGTTCAGAGGATGCACTATCAAATTTCAATGATCAGACATTATCACTTTAATTAGACAATTATAAAGGGTCTTTTAAAGCTAAATGCACAGCTAATCTACCAGGTCACTCAAGTGAGATGACAGTTCATACAGCACTAAACAAGAGTCAAGTTGTAGTCACTTCCCTCTGTTTTGGACTACCTTTAAACTGCTCTAAGAATGTGTACGAATCTCTTCCTACTTCATCTACCAAAATCCATAGTGGACTAACCACCTGTTTATCATTTTTCCTTTAATGAAATTTCCTTTGAAGTCTTAAAATTACATATTAATTTTCTTTGCAGAATAAAATGTTCACTCAACCAGCTAATAAACAAAAACAAACAACAATTCAACAGTGAAAAGCATCTGACAGTTATAACTAAACTTGCAACTCTGACCAAGAGATTTTCAGATGGGAAAACAATAATGTATCTAAACTATTCATTCTACACAGACAGAAGTACAGAGATACCCATCCAACTGACTTAAGATTACAACTCAATCATCCCTCATACAGAATATCTACTCTGATTTATTAAGGCACTTGTATGCTCTCAGATAGATTGTTTGAAGACTGACAATGTTCAGTATTTACTACATAATTTTTTTTAAACTTCATTAAGCAAACACAAAAACTGCAAACTTAGGCTAATGCAGACGACATGCAATGCAGAAGAATTGAGCGTTTCACTGTACTCTGGAAGAAAGTGTACTTTATGGGATTTAATTAACAAGAAAAGTGTTAATTGTTATGCATGGTCCAATAGAATAGATTACTACTACAATAATTCAATGAATGTGTTCAGATTATTTTTTCTGAGACGTAAAGGTCTCCATATATACTAAAGTATGATTTTTAGTGTAGTTACAGAACTAAAGGAAATGTGATAGGAAAAAAAGATTTAAAAAATGAAGTAGCATTTTAACAATAAACATTAAAATGAAGACCAGACCTGATGATTAGGTTAAACTGACATTAACCAAATCAAAACAATTCCAGCATACAAGTAGAGCTATTAATGAGATAAAAAGATAAAACTATGCCTAAGCCACAAATCCAGAAGATAAAGATACTACACAAGAAATAACATGGCAACAATACCAACTTAGGGGTTTTGGTTTTTTAAAAGGTAAATGAAATGCAAGACTTGAAAAAAACAGCAACACCAAAGTGATTGCACTTATGCAATGAACACAACAGTGTTGTAGAAGTTTCAATACAAAGTCTGTCAGTCCTATCAATCCCCTGCGCCCCCGATAATAATTTGTCATGTGCAAATATATTCTATATCCCAGTTAGATAGGAACTCAACTGAGATGCATGAAAGCATAAGGCTAAAAAGTCTTTTTTTACCCCAATTTTCTTTGCAATTCAGTTGAGAGTTAAAAATCAGAAAGACTAGCCTTCAATTCATCACAGGGCTAAGAATGCTAATGCCATAAAACTTAATACTAAAAAGGTACTATTCATTTCAATCTCTTAATCTCTTACCTAATCCCATTCTATGGTTAGGTTAGTCAAACTGTAGGTCTTCATGAGATATTAAATAAAATTTGAGTATCCGAAGTCATTTCATACCTAAATACCTTGTGATACTGACCTATCCTATGTGAAAATTCATTTTTATTCGACTACTTTATTCCAGCCAGGTTATTTCTTCTTTTTGCATGCAAATACAAGCATATGGACTTCATTTTAAAGATAAAACAAAGGCAAAACCAGAATGCCATTTCACTTGTACAAGACAAATTTCAGTTTTTAGCAAACAAGTAGTATAAAACGCTTTAGAGCTCTTAAAACTGCACTGCTTTCAGCTTGGATTTGTAATTCTTGCATGTTATAAGCACTTCCACATAATTGTAAAACAAAGAGGATACTTGACAATGCACTCCTCACACTCATGCTTCAGTAGCTGCATGGCAGAAATCAATAGGTTTCTGTTTTCCTAGAAGTCACATGCATTTGCTTCCCTTCACTCAATGCTTAGGAAAAGCAGCTTCCCATCTCTTCGTTGCTGAATACTCAATTAATCTGCTATAGTTATTATAGTCAAGAAATAGTACATTTTTTATTATAAAACAACTTCTGTTAGATTCTTTACTTGCTCAGGTACCTGGAAATATTTAACAACCATCAGATTACAGCAGGGGTAATGAAAACACTGAACTATGATGTTTCCTAGCAAGTATCCCTAACTACAAAACCATCCAAAATTCATAAATACATGGTAAAGAATTCTCTAAGAATTGTAAACATAGTACATGCTTGTAATTGCTGATAGTTCTTATACATTCTTAATAACCTAAATATATCTTCTTTCAGAAAATACAATCCAAAGAGGGGGGTTACTAGAATAAATTCCACTTGCATATGTATACTTTTTTAATGGCAAAGTTCTTGCAAGAAGCAGGGTGGGCCAGGGAAAAAGCGTGAAGAAAGGGGGAGAAAGGAAAGCATACTGCTCTGATTAAATTGCAAATGCTACACTCTTTCACCTGACTTATGTAGTTGTGTAATTTTATTTAAAAGTGCTACCCAATTAGCATGAAAACAGATACAAAGCTATGCAGTTATACAGGCAAATTTTACCTCTTGTAAGTACATTGGTTCAGAAGTGTAAGTTAAGTATCTTTTGTAATGGGAATTGTAAGTGTTCTAGTAGTAGCTGAATTGTCTACAGAGAATACAATATGAAATGTCAATTTCTATGTGTAAATGGGTCATTCTAATCATGCTTAGGTTCAGTGGCTAAATTACAATAGTACACATGAAAACTGTAGTCAAGTGCAGACAATTTCTTAGATTTTGAAAGCAAACAATACAATTGCAATTACTTTTTTCCTTAAAAGAAACACTAGAAATGTTGAGCTTTTCTGACAGGGAAGACAAATATAAAATGTGAAGGAGAATAGGAGAAAAAATATGAAGAGATTTCTGAGGTATATAACTGAAAACAGAATGGATTAGTCAGAGGAACCAACATTAAATGACCAAGCAGCAAGACTGCTTTATTTAATGACTGTAGAAACAAAATCCGATTCAGAGTGTGGGAAAAGTGGGCAGGCATCTCTGATGCTTATCCAAGTCCTCCCCTTTCCTTGCACTGCTTGCAAATGACAGATGAGAAATAAGTCTATTTCCTAAAACCATCTGTTTTGAGACTTAAAGAAGGTCCTGATTCATTATGACATTATCACAGGGAAGATTTTGCCTTCGTTCAACTTTGGCTCAAAGGCTGGAGGACTGCTCCTTTTCCCCTCCCATTGGTGCAGTAATACCATTCCATATACTTTACTTTTGTCTCTTGTGCCCAGCACAGCTTCTCTCACAACTCTAAGCAGGTCCTACTCTCCCTAGCCACACCTTTTACTGTCATTCCTTCCTGCTGAAAACTGCATCTCTACTTCCTCTCTTGCACTGGTCTGGCAACCTGCTGCTAATCCCTTGTCATGCCAGTTGAACCTCCCCTTGGTTTCAAGCTATAATTTAAAAGCAATATACTGACATTATCTGTACTATTTCCCTGCTTCAGAAAGTAACATTTTGTATCTCTAAAAATGGTACCTCCCAAATCCTACCAGGCTCCATTTGAAATGCAAATATTCTAGAGGAAACTACCAGTTATCTATTTTTAGAAAGCCCCTCTGCTGCTTCTAACAAAGACTTTTAGATCTACAGTCCCAGATTTCAATACCTCTGATACCTAAAGTGAAAGCCAAAAAATAGCCATTTTTAAATTCTCTCAGAAGTAAAATCCCGCGCAATTTTGACTCTGAAATCTAAAAAGCATATTTGGAGATAAAACTGTACCTTACAAATAATTAACAACTAACGTCAACAGTCAGAGATCACCATGTTAGGTACTATGCACATATTTAATAAGAGATAGGCTTTTATCCCAAAAGCTTGCAATTTAGCTTATCAAAAGTGACACAAAGACATGAGAAAGAGACAAGATAATAATACATTAATTATTATTAGCATAAAGAAGAGTCATAGCATACCATTTGCCTAGTCACTGCAAAGTATTAGCACAGTCAAGCGTTTTTAAAAAGGCATCAGAAAATTATAATGTAAGTGGCTTTTCAGACTTATGTGGATCTCTCCTTTTTCACATAAAGGGCAGCAGGAGGGAGCATAAAGGCATTTCACGGAAAACCAGAACAGACAAAAATGTCTGACAACACTGGCAGGCCAAAGACCAACGAGCTGAAAGCTCAAAACCCAGTAAAACAGACTACTAGATTTTGTTCTATGAAGTAAGAGTCTAGAGGCAGTTTTTCTCCCCTCTCAAATGTGTTTATGATTTCAGTGAGACAGAATTTGACCTTGTGATCTTGCTGGATTCTGTCCACACTTACTGGAGATTCAAATACTCACCTCATCAGCAAGAAACTCCTTACTCAGACCAAAGTCTGTCAGCACCACATGGCCATCAGAATCAAGGAGAATATTCTCAAGTTTTATATCCCGATATATAATCCCCAACTGCAAACAGAATATAAGAAAAAGTATTTCCAAATCAGTGTAACCGCATCATGGAGACACTGTTGAATGCATTTAAATACGAAGCTAGCAAAATTCCCATTATTAAGGTAATCTGACACCTGAAAGTTGCACCTCAAAAAGGACAATTTTAAAATGCCTTTGATGAAATAACTTTGAGCAACTTAAGTTCTCAGAAATTACACTGTGCATTGTCTTAAAATTTAAAGGTCATACTATATCATTTCAATCTAAAAGTGACTGAATACTTGCTGTTGAGTGCAAAACTCAGTTCAGCTTTCATTACGAATGAAAATGGATGCTTCTGTAATATGTTCTAGAACACACATGCCTACAAATCTACTTACTACCTCTGAAAACTATAACACTTCATGCCTACAGTTGTGCCAAAATTTCAGAACTCTATTTAATTGTATCAAAACAAGGACAACTGAACAACAGTGCAACCCAAACACTGTTCATGTTGACTACTAAGTAGTTTTAGTGACATACACCATTTCATAAAGGATTACTAAAAATTAGCAATCATTTGCAAATAACAAATTTGCCTTAATCTGGTGCGCATGAATAGACACTTCATTGAGAAGTATTTCTGATTATACAACTAATGTCCCATTGCTAGATAAAGTTACTTTGAACTTCAAACAATCTAAAACAATAGTTCTCCTTACTAACTTTATATGAAGTGAAAAGAATACAGTTGTAGTTCCACAAAATCAGCACTAGGATAAAGTTACTTTACCTTGTGGAGATGTTCAAGTGCCAAAACGATTTCCCCAATGTAAATTTGCACCTCATTTTCTGAGAATCTCTCTCTGTGTGAAAGGTGAGTAAACAATTCTCCTCCATTTATATAGTCTAAAAAGTAGAACAAAGAACCTTATAATTTCACTTTCTGACAACTTAATTTTCTTATTGGAATATTAATAGGTACTTCGTAAGTTATTTAATAAGATTTTCTGGGATCAGATGCTTTTACTTTATTGTAATTCAGTAATATTTCATCATGTTGTACAATACTCTATTTCCTTCTTAGAGGACAGATGGAAGAACATGACCAACTTTTAAATAAGCAGCAAAACCATAAAATAAGCCTCAAACATCCATAAATTATAAAGATTAATTTTTTTTTTGCAAAATCAGTCTTTTAGTTATCTAGGAATATGAAAAGAAAGGAGTACAAATGATATCTACAAACAGAACACTTGTACACTCTTATGAAATACTTAAGAGCATAGGACTGATGGAAGAACATGACCAACTTTTAAATAAGCAGCAAAACCATAAAATAAGCCTCAAACATCCATAAATTATAAAGATTAATTTTTTTTTTGCAAAATCAGTCTTTTAGTTATCTAGGAATATGAAAAGAAAGGAGTACAAATGATATCTACAAACAGAACACTTGTACACTCTTATGAAATACTTAAGAGCATCAAGGCAGACTGACATCAAGAAAGGCAATTCAGAAAACAGGTATTAGGTGAAATAATCAACTATGAGCAATTACAAGTTTTAACCTTTGCAAGGGGAGCTTTGATGGCAAAACTTACTGGAGAAGATTATTTCCACATACATTCCCTCACGGAAACCACACTTTCATTCTTTGCAGGCTATGACACAAGGGTTTTCCCCACAGTCAGGGAGGGGGGGAAAGAAGTAATTATTACAACAGAGCTCCACTGCAACACAAACACATTTTAGAGGTAGAGCTGTTTATGCTAGCAGTGTACATTAAAGCCATTGATTTGCAACCCCACAGTCCCCATACTGTATTTGAGGTCTACATATACAGAGCAGGGAACATGCCCCACAACATCTTACTCAAGATTTTCTTGAATATTGTTTCTATAGATTCATTGGTATAATACATAAATCTGTGCAAAAAGGTCCAATCCTATTATAAGTAAGTTACTACTTCAAAGGAGAAAGCATATATACAAATGATAGACATTCTGATCTCTCTATTCTTTTTGGTTCTCCAGTTCTCTGTTTGGGAAGGAATATTAGTGGAATCAAACAATGTGAGGAAGATTATTTATCTAGATCAGTAAGCATATGAAAAAAATTATAATAAAGTATAAATAACCCACTTTTTACAATTGCTTCCTTCTTCCAAAAGAACTTCAGCATTCTAATCATGAAGAAAACAAAGATAACAGAAACAAATTTTTAAGTATTTCTAATCAGAACCACTAACTTAGTACAAGGTAAGAACTGAATTCCCAGGCACCGTTCTAAAGACTGTGACAGATACAAACTAAAGCTGCCACAGGAGTGGCAGAACAAGCCTAATTCTATTCAGGTTATAACACTAACCACAGCCCAATGAAATAACCAGCCTTCAAATCCTTGGTGCTAGATCAAATACACCACCAACACAATGGGGAAAGAAAAAATACTTATCAATTACTTCAATATAAACTCCATCTGACAGTTCAGATATTTTTTTTAAGTAGTAGTAGGTTAACCTTGTATGACAGGCTTTGTGTAGAAGCAGTACTCACATCGATACAATACTTTGTTCTTTCAATCATAGTTTAACGTCAACCTAAAAACTGGAATCAACTGCAAACCCTGTATTCTGGAAGTTTGGCAGAAATGCAGCTGCACGTCTGCACTTGATCCAGACTAAATTCATATGGCTATATAATCTGATGGCATAAAGAACTGTATTAAATATTGCACTGAGACTCCAATTCGAAAACCTCTTGAAACTGAAATGACATGTTGCTCATACACCAAGTTCAGCTAGGTACAAAAACAAAGGCAGAGACTGGTTTCCCCCCAAAATTCAGGCCTTTCTGGCCCCAACTGATATTCTGAGAATGTATTCATGTAGACTTTGTGGGAAAGCAAAAAAACAAAACAAAAAGCCTTTAATTGTACATCAGCTTTGAATTTCTCGCTTTAAACATCACCTTAACATTGTGTTATAGTGTAAAATGGGCACATGCCTGCTATCTGCTATGTAATGTTCTTCAGAACTACCGGGCTCCCTCCTCTTTGATTCTTATGAGAATACAATGTCAAGCTTTTAATTGTTCCTTCACTTAAGAGGATTTTCTGGCCTTCTAATTATCCTTGTCACCTAAATTTCTCCATTACTATCTATTTATTTTTAGGTAACTACATCCATCTCAGGTGTGAGGTTTTTTGTTTTGGTTTGCTGTCTTTTTTTAATGTTTCTAATGGGATCTAAACTGCATTCTAGCAAAAAATATCTGGATTTAAAGAATGGTACTATAATATTTATAATACATGTTCACATTTTGTCTCCTTTAATCTTTCAAAATTTTTTCCAAATTATTAATCAATAACTTAAATACTAAAAAAACCCCCAACCTTAATTATTAAAGGTTAACATCAAGGAATCACAAAGCTATCAATGTATTACTAACTTTTTCTTTGTCTCTTTAGCATTTTCCAACCTGTGACAATATTTTACATATTTCTTTAATGTCCTAGTCAGAGGAATTTGTAAGAATCCTTATTACAATTTTCAACTCTCATTTTCAAAAGGAATCTAGTGAATACTCCATTTAAGCTTGAGCTCCTCAGATACCTGTATTATCTCACTGTAGTATATGATGAAACTAAATACACATAGAACACCTTCCTAAGAATTGACAGCCAGTGGTGTAGATTCATAACATTAATAAATTTTTATTAGTTTAATGTCTAAATCAGCCTGTTAATAAAGGTTCAATAAATGGAAGTTATGAGCTAAAAGGAATTGCAAAACTTCACTTCAATTAAAAGGACCATTTACTTCTTCAAATAATTCACTACAAAAACGTATTTTGCATCAAAGCATTAACCTGATCATTCATTTTCCAGTTCTTTTAAAATACTCTAAGTAAGCAGTCTTTAAAAATTACTTGTAATTTTCTTACAAATACATCTTACATTCCAAACACAAAATTTGCTGCTGATCTGAAAGGTAGAAATATTTCTAATTTTAGAGTGGTACCAAGCCTTATCAACAAGCTCTACTTTCAGCACAGAAATGTGTGGTTTTGGATTGCCTCTTAACACCCCAAAATTGAAACATGCAAGTATCTCAATACTCAAAGATCAAATGGTTTCATAACAAAAAGTTTTGGCAGCAAATGCTTCCTGAAGCAGTAAGGTTTAGAGTCCATTTTAATACTCTTTTCCAGCTCCTGAAGTAGATGTTCCTTATTATCAGGAAAAATCCTTCATCTTCCTGAGAAAGACAGGACTCTTCAAAGGCAAGGAAATTGGGGAATAAAGCAAAAGGAATTAACTCCTTAATCTCCGCATCTTTCCCAAAAACGTTACTGTCCCAAAAAAAGGATAGCAGTAGGAAATGGAGAGACACACATATACAGAAGTTATATCGGAGTTGAAAACCCTAAGAAAGCTCCTGATCAGTCTTCTGCCAACCTTGCAAATGCTACAGAAATAGATGTGGTTTTGCACATCAAAATGGAAAGCAGAATGGCAAGGACAGAAGTGGAACGAAGAATGTTCTAGTAAGGCTTGCTATACAATAGTTCATTATCAAGCATCTCTCGTAAATGGAGATTTACGAAAGTTACTGGTAGAACTTACCAAAATGAAGTATATAAAACAAGAAGCTGATCCACAATACAAGTATTTTCACCAGGGTTTTACAGCAGGAAACTGTACCAACAACTTGTAGATTCCAGTGTTGTAACGAATTTGACCAGAAATAAATGAAAGCACAATCATCTTTAACTGGCATCGCCCACATTAGGAGCACATTTGTTCAGAAAAAGAGACCTGCCTGATACGATCTTTCAGTTCGTAGCATTTCAGTGCTAAAACAGTGTACTAACTGGTCAGCATAGTGACAGGTAGCCCTGTCCTCTCAGACAGATGACAACATTTCAAAAACACTGATGACATTGAGGACAATATACAACATGTTCTCACAGTGAAATGTGCAGTATGTTTGAACTAGAAGGCTTTCTGCTGCTTAAATATTTCCTTAATTTTTTTCTTCTTTCCTACCAACTAATCCCAGTAACAAAAGTCATGTTTGGTCATCCCACCCCACCAATAACCTCTGTGCCACATACACAAAGGCAGCATGCAGAGAAAATAAACTGAATCACTTTAATGCCCATATTCATACAGATTAAGAACTTTTTCTACAGATTTTCAGACAAATTGCTACCATGAATGAAAACTAATGCAGTATGTATATAATAATGGTTAAAAAAGTGCCAATCAAAATTTCATCTTCTAGGTAAGTTCAAGAAAATATTTCTCTGGTTTAGGTACTTATGGTCATATACATTTTTGCTGCATTTAAGTCACTGATAATACTTCCCCCTCCACCCCCAAGCCAGAGTAGCACACTGAACTTCAAACAGGAAAACCACAAACACAGACACTGTTGAAGATGAACAGTGTTTTACTTCCTATGGTCTCTCACACAATCGCCAAACACACAGTAGTACTTAAGACCACATGAAAAAAAACCTACAAAACATTAAGGAGATAAAAGGGCAGATTTTTTTTTTTTTTCTTTAACATAAGACTTGAATCCTGAAAACTACTCACCTAAAATGAGATGAAGCTTTGTATCTGTCTGGAAGGCATAATGTAATGTGACCAAAAATGGTGATTGCCTAATGTGCTCCAACACTTGTCGTTCTGTCCTTGTGTGCTCAGTTGTTTTGGCTTTTTGAACTATTGTCGCTTTCTTCAGTACTTTCATGGCATATAGCTTTCCAGCATCATGGCCACTTACTTTCCTTACTAGGAACACTTTTCCATAGGCTTAAAAAAGAAAAAGTGGAGAGAAAAAAAAAAACAAGTCACCTACTCGTACTACAGGTCTGGCTGATATTATTTTCAATTACTCATTGTTATGGCAAACAGTAACCATTCAGGCTAAAATCTTCCAGAACACTTTTTTTGTTTCAAACTGACCTTTTCTGAGCAAAATTTCAACCAAATGAGCTTAGTGACTGAACACAGCAAGAGTGGGAGAAACAATCAAACAGTTTCAGTATTTAAAAACAATTTTAAAAGCTGATGATTTCTTTCTCTGTAATAACCTAAAACTCCCATACCTAGAATTTAGCAAGAGTTTGGAGTAAGAGAGATGCTATAGTCTGCCCATATTTGCACACCTTATACACTTTCATTACTGGCTTTACAGCAGTGAAGTTCCAAAAACCCATAGAAAAGCCAATGAATTCTTCCCATCAGTATTTAGTACATAGGAACTTTGAGGCTCCCATGCTGGACTTAAATGAGAATAAGCTAGAGGGATTATCTCAAAAAGAAAGTTTTAAGAACACAAACAGTAAAAAAGTCACCAGGACCAAAATGGAGTGTTTCCAGAGTTTTAAATTATGGAGTCTAGGTGTTCTGTTTACATATTTGGTTAAAAATACACTCCATACTGGAGTAATAAGTGGCAAACACGGACTTTTTTTTTTCTTAAATAAAAAGGGCTCCTGGGTACTGGACACAGGTAAATTTGATACCTCTGCTAGGCAAACCTGTAGAAACAATAAAGGTTAGAATTAGCAGATACACAAACAGGATACTATGTGAAAGAATGAGTATTACTTTTGTAGATAGTAATAATTATTTTTATTAATAATCACTCAAAGGAATCAGGAGGAAGGAACAATGATATGGTTAACTTATTTAGATTTCCAAGGTACTTAAGTTCCCTTACAAAAGCATCTTAAAAACACTGAACAATCATGGGTGCAAAGAGGGGGGTCCTCTTATGAATGAATTATATTAGCAGACAAAAAACCAAAAGGTTAAAAATAAATATTCAGCTTTTTCAGTGAAAGGAGGTCACCACAAGAATTCATCCTGCCTGATTCAGTCATATATGAACAGTGAGGAAGCTGATTTTCTTAGTTTAGTAAATTATCCACTGCAACAGAAATTGAAGCTGACTGCTGAAAACTGTACCACAGTATCAAAATATTAAGTAGCTGAAAAATAAAGTGGCAGATAAAATTCCAAAGACGTAAATGAGTAATTTATGTCAAGTATGATAATAATTAGTTGTGCATAGTGTTACAACTGAGGGAAAAAAAATATATACCTGGAGTTACCACAGACAACCCTATGAGAAGACACCAGTGGTAATCCAAAAAGCAAATAGAATGTTAGAACTTCAAGGAAAGTATTGAAGGGGAAAAATGACACAGATGTACCATCCCCCAAACCTTCAACACAGAACCAGAAATCCCTTATGCTGTGGTATGAAATCTTCATGTGCCCATATCTTGACTGATGCACACTATTTCGGGCTCCCCTCTCTTCTGTCCCCAGTTCCCCTTCCCTCCATCAGAAACAAAAAGTATAGGAGAATGTTAAAAAAAACCACAGAAAAGGATAAAAAGAATTCTTTTAATTATGAAGGGAACTAAACACACTTAGACTTTTTATTTAGCCTGAAAGAGTAGAATACTTCAGAAGATGCTAGAGAGTTAAAAATCAAAAATTGTATGAAGTTAAGTAAAGAACAATTTTTCATTATTTCTAGAAATAAAATAACTAAGGTAACAAATGAAATCATTAGGTATCAAGATTAAGAACTGCCCAAAACACACAAACAAATATGTAGTTAAGCTGTGGAACTACTGTTATGTTATGCTGCAGATGTCGGAAGTGTAGATGAGTTCAAAAAGATTGTATAAACCCTTGAGGGAGAGAAAAGTATACCAAGTGTTGCTAAACACAGAAGAGAATCTGTCTCAGGCAGACCCCAAACTGCAGGCTGCTACAAGTTCACTACGGAAACCATTATCATATGCCTCTCCATGTTCTTGTAGGGTCTCCTTAAGCCATCATGAGACAGAAAACTGAACCAGCTGGGTGTTTTGTCCAACATCTATAATTATCTTGACATTACTTTCTCAAACAGAATGCTCAAGTATCTCAAAACTGTAAATACACTAGACAGAGTATACTGTCCTGATGTGAGACACTCAAGTTCAGTTAGTCTTTAAAAATGCTATAGCATACACTGCCCCTAGTATGTAACTACATGTAACTCAAGATTTTTCCTGTTTTTACCAGACAGGTAATAGAGAGTTTTAAATTATCAAATGACGTGGTTTTTTTCCTACAACCGAGTTCTGCTTCATTCAGTATACAAAACTGATACCGCTCATATAATGAACAATTCTTTTTTTAAGAAGTTCTTTACCTGAATCATCACACCCTAAGGAATCATGCTTGCCTTCTTTATAGAACCCATTATTCTCAATAAGAGCTTTCATAAAATAAGTTTTCACAACATTATCTGTCAAGAATCACAAATAGAGTCAGAACAGGTTAGTGTAAACGTATCTTTCTATTTTGGGAGACAAATGTGAGATACCCAGGACAATCTTTTTCAAGATGTTCAGTATTGTATTCCTCAACTTTAATTGTAGGTATGAGATCTCAAGTGTATCTAAGTGGGACTCAATAGTCACCAGCTGGTCATCAAGAAATTGATAACCACAGATGTAAAAAGATTACTGTAGTAAAATAGATATGGGCCATAAATCCTGTCATGATGTACAGACACAAGTGATCTGAATCAAGGTTGTACAGACCATAATATTGCAACGACAGTAATACTGTTATGCATATGCACAATTTTAACATTATTCACCTATTTTTCCAATATTGGATGTTAAATAATTTTTAGCATCTGAAAAACAGACCCGTACTACTGAGAGCTTCCAAAAGTAGTATTTATATCTTTTTAAGGAGTTACTTCTCAAACAGTGTAGCTAACACTCCTGCATTCTACTAACACAACAAAAACAGTGCAGAGCATGGCCTTAGCTTGCATTTCTCAACTGCTTAAGGGAACAGCCCCAGTTTTCACCAATTTTCAGCTGGAGCTTGACACTGAACTTCCTTGTGCCTCTCTGAAAAGCCCAGTCTAGAGCATTAAACAGAAGTTTCCTTAGGTTCCCGGGAAACAGTGGTTTTATCAGAAATGTTGGAGAACATTAAGTTAAGCTAAATTAAAATAAACAAAAGCCCGCAGATTTTAACGCTTGGCTACCTGTATCTTTAATCACACTTTATAGAAACCTACAATAATGCATCTTCAGTGGCAGAATGCTAGCAGTATATTAACAGCACCAACTACAGCTTTACATACTAGATAATTTTCTCCTGTGCTGTAAGTGTAATAGCTGTAAGGAAATCTCTAGAAACTATACTAGTGTTATCATAAAAGAATTTGCAACATAGAGCTTTACCACGGTACAAATTGTTTCTTCAGAAATCTGGAAAGGACTGACAGAATGATGAGGATTCTCAGCAGTTTTGATGAGAATAAATCTTAAGTAGCACTATTTTAATCAAATGACTCACGATATATTCAACACCAGAATCTCTGATATCACCACAAGAAATCTACTTAAAAGACAACACTGCAAAAGCAATTCATTTGAGTGGCAGCAAGGAGAAGGCACATAAGCTAATTCCAAGACTACCCTTACCTGATAATCTTACTTCAGAAAAGCTTTTTTAATTTCTCAAAGAGCCACATTTTAATGTTCATTCTCATAAAATCTGATGCACATCTCAATTACTTCCAAGGCAGAAATATTTAGCCAGCAATATATCCCCCATAAAGAAACACACACAGTCACCAAATATTCACCCCCCAAATTCATTAAAAATATTTTAAATGATGGAAGAACTAAAAGACTATATAATACATACTATATATATATATACACACATATACATACACAAACACAAACTATGTTAGACTGACATTGCAGTTAAGAGAAATAAAATGAAAGTTAAAGAAAAAAGCAATTATTAGTTGCAGACTGATATGGACATCAGGCCTGGAAGATGAATAAGAGATTTCATAGGAGCAATTTATATTAAATTTCCACTTAATTTGTGAGGCAGAAAAATGTAATTGGGGGTTAAATCTTTCCTTTCACTGCCGCCTTTTTCATACACGTTCATAGTAATACACATCATCATAAGTAACAATTCAGCAAGTCATTAGAATATTCTAAAGTACACGCTTGCTGAAAGACAATGGATTTTAAAAAAGTATTCTTTGCTTCTTTATTCTTTCTGTATAAATGCAAGCATGCTAAGCCATTGCATCATGCCAGCTAATTCTTACAGAGAAAAAGGCAAGCAATTCTTATTGTTTATAGCACACAGGATGGTTTATGCGGACTTCTAAATCCATCAAAACTTGACATTTGTATACAGACAGCTTTAAAGCAAAGTTTTCAAGTGTTAAGATAAGCTATACCTCTCTTAAGTTACTTTTTTACTATCAGTGTAAGCATAATCATGAGAGAACAATAGGAAAAAGCTCGAAGGTACAAAATATTTAATGATTTGAATAAATTCCACTGTATTCTTGCATGATATATGCCTAATGACCTCTTTCCCCTGTACTTTTTATTGTTAAAATAGTCTTTAGATTTAATCTTCCTAAAGAATTTGGAGGCAGAACTCTCACTGTGCAGGTATCTGTCCATATAAACTCAAATTTGGGATGTGGCAAAGTCAGAAAGGCATATAGCTCTAGCAGCTAAAAACAGAAAAAAAAGCCAAGCAAAAACCTTAACAAAGATCAAATAACAGCATTCTGAACATGTACTTCCAATTTTTATTGTCCACCACCAAACTGTCAAAGATGAGGCATCCTCTGTCATCTTCCCTTAAATATCAGATAAGCAAGAATCTTTAATTGGCTTTTTTCAACATTATTATTTCCCCAAGAACAAGTTCCCTGTCCCATTAAACAAGTGAGTGAG